CGTTTTAACATAGGTGCAGATGGCTCACTGGCCAAGAGGAGAGGGCTTTCAGCAGGAACTTGCACAAAACGGGGTGCCCAACGATGGGTGCAGCTCCTCTAAGCAGAGAAAAGAAGTGAGGAAAGGTATCTGGCCCACAGCGTGGGGAAGGGCTGCTGAGCGCTGGGCTGAGCCTGGGATTCTTAGCAAAGCCATTCGTCCAGGTCTGCTACAACTGCTCCACCACCCCAGGTCGACCAGAAATTGGAACCTGGGGCTCCCACCATCCGAAAATGGGAAAAGCTTGGTTGCAGCCTCCGCGGCCCCGCTATTGAGCGGAGGAACTTGGACAGGGCTTCTGCTCCCCGGGCTCTCCGCTGCAGCACGCCCACAGGAAGTCCCCGGGCGCGGCGGCCCGCTGAGCCCTCCACCCCGCGTGGTCTCCGAGCTTGCGCCAGCCCGGGCGGGGCCAGGCGCGTGGTGCGGCCCCCAAGGCCCGCGGAGGCGGCTGGGCCCTCCCAGCTCGGGGGCGGGGCTGTGGCCGGGCGCCTTTTATCAGCGGCCGGGAGGCCCCAGAGGCCACAGCTGGCTCCGGGCGGTGTTGGAGGCGCAGGTGAGCGGGGCCTGGGAGAGCTAGACGGCTAGGCGCAGGGGTCCTGTCGGGGCGCGGCGGGTGTCCCGGCTTCTGCGCGTGGGGCCGAGGGTCGGAAGTGGGGTGCGGCCTAGGGAGCACCCGGGCTGGGGTGGGAGCAGGACCGGGAAACAGCTCAGGGGGGGCAGAAAGGAGGAGCAGCGCTGGGCGCATCTGGGAATGAGTGGAGGAGACCTGAGGAGAGGGGTGAGGAAGTCCCTGCGCTGGGAGCAGGACCACGTGGTTGGAGGGAGAGGGAGGAAGGGCAAAAGGAGGGATGGAGGAGGGAAGGCATGCGTGAGGAAGTGGACTGCGGGCTGCTGGGTCCGGGGAGTGGGGGTCCTGCAGGCCCGTAGGCAGGGAACGGCCCACCCCACCCTGCTCCTCCTTCTGGAAGAAGGAATCTAGGTGACAGGGGGTCGAGAAGGATGTGGGTGGTTCCAGTTGGGGAATCAGAACCTCGGACACAGCCTGCTGAGGGCACAGGAGTGGCTGTCGTCCCAGGCTCCTGCTGCTTTCCTGGGCTGGGGGCGGCTCCCTTCGTGTCCGACCGCTTAATTTCCTCAGAAGCAGGGAAGTGCAGAGGGGGCCCCAAGAACCCTCCCAGCATGGCTCGGTAACTTTCCTGGGGTCGGGTCAAGGAGGCCTAGAATATGATGGGTTTTCAGAGCCTGGCTGCACCTGTGGGAGCGCCCAGAACCCTACCGTGGAGTGCCTGTCCTGGACGGCCCAGCCTCCTGGCCTGGGGCTTGTGCTGCCTCTGGACCCCTTGGGAGAGGCTGTCCTGCTCCAGCCTGTTCTCCTGCCGGGATGGCCCTGGCTGGCCACAGTGCAGCTCAGGTCATGCGACTGTGGCCAGGTTGACAAGCCTCTGGGCTGTGGTGAGTCTGCACTCCCCAGAAGAATTGCCTTAAGAATGACTTTGTTTGGATGACATTTCAGAGTACAAAAGGAGGACCGAAGTGAGCTCACAAGCAAATTAAAAGTCTCTGTTCACACCCTGAGAAATGGAGGGGCAGCAGGTTGGCTGAGCTGGGGAATTGGTTTGCCATGAAGATGACCCCCTTGCTGAAAGATGGGGAGGCCAGCCAGGGAGCAAAATTCTGCTGGTCCAGTTTGTGTCCACGGCGGCGTACCCTGGGAGTTCACTCCAGGGGTGTGGGTGCTGGTGAAGAGCAGGGATTGTTTTCAAAGTGGAGTAGACCACCCCACCTTCAGGGCAGGGGCAGCAGCTTAGCCTTGACTTTGACCCTTGTGAAGGACCTAGGGTAAGGACTTAAAAGAGCAAATAAAATCTGAAAGGTACAGTAGATACTGTGAAGGGGAAAAATACTGGTCAAAGGGAAGGAACAACAGGAATGAGGGAAAGGAGAAAAGAAGGAAGGGAAAATATATATGTATATACATAGGATAGCTTGGAGAATTGTACTGCTGCTTTCTGCTGGTGTATTGAAAGGAACAGTTAATGCTTAATTTTTTTTCTTTGACCAATTTTGCATGCTTATATCTGGTGATCTGAACAACTAATTTTGAAGACAACAGTATGCAATAAAACAACCATTGCTGAATTCCTATCATTTTGTTTAGTAAAATTCAATTCTGTATTGTTTCTCCTCCTCCTGCTCCTGCTCGTGCTCCTCCTCCTCTTTTTCCTCCTCCTCCTCTCTTCTTTTTCTTCCTCCTTTTTGTTCTTGTTCTTTTTTCTCTTGTTCTTTTTGTTCTTCTTCTTCTTGTTCTTGTTTGTCTTCTTGCTATTTTTTTATTCTCTTTAAAAAAAATACCCCC